CACATATTATACAAATTTTATTAGCATTGAAGCTAACTGGATAAAATTTTTAATAATTTTTAAAACACACTCGTATTTTAGATTAAGTGACAGTCTACTTCTGGTTTAGTCTGATAAGATTACTATGATTAAAAAAAGTAAACAAAATCATGTGATTAAGAGTTAAAGCTTCCACACCATAGCAATAACGCTATTTTTGCTCATATATATTTTTACTTAATTCATTTGCCCGTAATTTATTTTTAAAGTAATTTGCTATTTCATTTAACGGAGACCATGAAAACGAATTTTTACTTACTGACCACCACAAATCCTATTAGCCTTAAGTGACTTTTTCCAGATGGTAATCATATTAATATATGCAAAGAAGATAAGGCTGCAGTGCTTAAAGACGCAGTTGAGAGTCTGTTAAAAAATCAAGGTCATCAAGATTCTGATCTCTACATTATTATTTCTAAGAATTCGATGGCTGAAATATTTGATTATTTCAAAAATGGAACTTTTGATCCAAATCAAGTTCATATTATATATCGTAAAACCAAAGGAATAATATTTTTCTTTGTATTCGCATTATGTAACAGCGATATATTTTTTTATTATATGATTTGTTGTCATTCTAGCAAAAATTTTTTATGAATAAATAAAGAAGAGGGGTGGTGGGCTCCCAATTTTTTATTTTAACACACATCTGATCAACTATAATTAATTGCTATAGTATTGAGCCAAAGTTGGCATTTTCTTGTCTTAATAAATCAATTTCAGAATACATATTTTGTAATTAAGATGCATATACCTCGATATAATATATGGACTTTTTAGTCTGAATTCTTTATAATAATATAGGATAAAACAGACACTTTATTTATATAATAAAAACACACATTTCTCCTACACTTAATAGATCTTGATGTTTTCTTGGGTCTCTTCTGCCTTTTTTTATTTTGTTTGTCATGCGTCTCTTTTCTAGAAGGTGATAATACCGTGAAACTTTTTTCGACACGATGTGTCTTACTTGTGGGTATTTGCATTATTAATGATCAAGATATTCTGTGTCAAATGTTAGTTTTGTTATACACATAAGGGAAATTTAACGTACTGAGCTTGTTCAGACC